ATAATGCAGGAGGAAGAGATTTCAAAGCTGCTCTTCCTCCACGATTTGCCTCACAACTATAGTTAAGCTTGGTTAATCCACTATTAGGCCCAAATTTTTAGAGGGGGTTTGAACTAGTTCATGATGGGCCTTGAAATTCCAAACCTGAGCTAGTTTCAGAATACCCCAGTTTCGAACGTCACCGTCATCATTATCCCTGGAGATTTATATATTATTTTTCATATTATTTATATATTTTTAAACAGTCATTTTAATTGTGAATGTTTTAATGTGCATTTTAATTGTATGCAATTGGTTTTATACTTGTAAATGGCTTAGAAGCCATTTTGGCAATTAAGTGGCTTACTAATTAATAAATAATAGCTACTACTCTTCATTTCCAGCCTCTAATTAAAACCTTACAACTCTTCATGTTCACCATCTAATTAAACTTTGCACCAATACTATATTATTAGCAGAAAAGGACCCAAGGTTTAGAGATAAGCCTAAGGCCTGCCAGGAACTTCACAGCTGCGGTGAGATTTGAATCATGGAACTTCCTGGCTGAGCAGCAAAATTATTCTAGGAAAGAGAACACACAAGGATCCTAGTCCACAACGGAATGAAGAGGAAGTACACAGGTTTAACCACATTTACTCATAATAAGCCAACGAGACCAAAATTGACTTAACTATTTTGTTAATAAACTGCTGATGCAAAGAAAGTATTTAGAATTCCTAAAACATGGTGTCAGATAATGAGATCTTTGGAACTAACCCATAAAACATAGTAGACAAAGTACAAAACCACATGCAGAATTTTCTCAGACGAGAATTTGTATCTCATTTTGTATTTTTTTTAAAGATACATTGTGATGCAGATTTGTGAAATATGAATTCTGCACCTGTGAGGTTTTCCACATTTTCTCCCCCACCCCCTTTCGGAAAACCACAGTGAAATTAACTTATTTCCAGTCACTTCTCTTGCGTTCAGCACAAAGATCTTGGCAGCCATGTGTGTTTATCACCTTAACACAGAGAGCACACTGCTCAGCTGTAGCTCATATTAGGACAGTCTTGAAGCCATAATGTTTTCCTCTAAGAGACAAGGAGACTGTGCTCATATAGAAGATTTCTAGCATATTTTCTTCCAGTACCATTGCTGCATAAATTATAAATAAAGTGTCAGCACTAATAACGAGCACTTTCACACATTGCTCCTTGGAGCATTTATTTCAGTTCAAAAAATAAATAAATGTTTGTACATATTTTCAATTGTGCCTAAATTCACAGTTGCTAAAACGTCCAATATCCCAGCCTGAAAAAAATCCATTCTGAAGAGGCGAGCAGAGAAATAAATGCAAGTTAACATTTTACTTGAGCATTTTCTCCTTAACAAATTGCTTGTGCCCCAAATCGCACTGGGACACAGGCTCTGCTGCCTCTTGCACCAACTTGTTATGTTCCAGCTGCTGCTGCCATTGGTCCTGAGTCTTTAAAATTCTGGGAAATCCTTTGTGTCACAGATTTTTTGGGGAAGAGAGGAATCAACCCTCAACTGAGCTGGTTATGCTGCTTCTCATGCCAGTGTTGCTTCACAATTGGGTGGCTTCTGCTAGTGATGTACTGCTGCTTTTCTCAATATGGCGCCACAAAATAGGGTGGCAGCTTAAGAGACCAGGCTGCCTTTATTCTTACTGAACTCATTTTTCACACAACAGCCACCCATCAAAATGGGATGTTTGGACTGATTCCTAAGAAAGCTGAGGCCTGGCTTATACCTGCAGCAGGATGAGGTGACAGAAGAATGTATAACATCCGGTACAATTTCTTAATGCACGCCCGCGAAATAAAATTACTCGCAAGTAAGAAGCAGATCAGGGAGGCAGGTTTAGTCCACCCCACTACTGTTTTCTATTTGCTGCAAAGTTGTTTTGTTTTTACACAGGAAAGCATTCAAGTGGCAATTTCCTCACCTTTACTCTTAATGTGGTACAATTCATTAAAACATTTTAACACCACCTTTCAATTTAAAATGTTCAGGGGTGAGCTGCTGAACTGGATCCAGGGCTGCCTCTATTAACTCTCTTCCAGGGGTCAAATAAATCTGTAAGTCGCTAACAATCCCTCTCCTCAAGGTTGTGTGAATGGAGGTGAGTGTTTCTCTGTAAAACTGAAACAACCTTCCTTTGGAAGCCTACCTTCCAAAGGTGGTATGACCAGGCGGATTAGGAAACTTAAAACAAACTTACCCAGTGATGTAACTAGCCAGAGGTGAAATAAAAAATTCTTAAGATTCATTACAAATCAGAAAAACCCGGGGCACCTCTCTCTATCATCCTTTTGGCAAAATGTGATTTTGTAGGCAGGGCAGCGCTATTTCGTATTATGTCCCACAGTGTGCACACCACCCCTTCTAAACTGCTGACACAAAAATGAAATTAAGAAATATTCCAGGCTGATAAGAAAAAGCTCATTCTGCTATATCATTCTACTACTTGCGCAAACCAGACTTTACATAATGGGAGCACAGGGCCACATATAGCACCTTTAGCCACTGTAAACAGAGGGGGAAATAGCAAAAATTACAGCCGGCATTCAACTAACCTCAAACGTGCAGAAGGGGTTCCACTTGCACAGTGTGACTTTCCTCTCCTCTTGTTCCCCTGCATGCACCTAACGCCTTCTCCAAGTTGGCTCTGGAGGGCTGAGGGAACTTCTAGAACACAGGGGAGACTTCCTGCTGCTCATCAGGCAATGGCTTTTCTCACCTGTCTTGCCCCACCCTCCAGCCCTAGAATTCTTTCCCAGACCATGATTTTGAGAATAGCAGAAGCAGCTGGGAGAAGTGTGTGCCCTTGTTTCTCAATTTGATCCTTTTACTTGGTTTTGTATGTTTGTGGCATTTTATGCATTGTGACTTGCCACTGTTTTTCTTGATTATAGTTTAGTGATTCTTTATTATAATGGTAAGTGTTAACCATTTAATTATCATTTGCTGGTATTTAATTTGACTGTTTACTATTATATTCTGGTGGATTCTTGAATATTGCTTTGTCTGATAGAAGTTATTTACAGTGATACCTCGGGTTAAGTACTTAATTTGTTCTGGAGGTCCGTACTTAACCTGAAACTGTTCTTAACCTGAAGCACCACTTTAGCTAATGGGGCCTCCTGCTGCTGCTGCGCTGCTGGAGCACGGATTTCTGTTCTCATCCTGAAGCAAAGTTCTTAACCTGAAGCACTATTTCTGGGTTAGCGGAGTCTGTAACCTGAAGCGTATGTAACCTGAAGCGTATGTAACCTGAGGTACCACTGTATTTTAAAGTTACAGGGACTTCTTTGTACTGTATCAGATTGTTATTACATGCGTTATCTTTGCTGTCTGTTTTGTTGTTTCTTCAGCTTGTAAACCCCCTCGTGTATAGTAATATAGAAAGAGGCAGTGTAACAAATTAAAAATGAAGTAAAATATTTAGTGGGTGAGCAGATGGGAGGAAAGCCAGGTTGGGCAAGTAGAAGTCATTGTGCAAGTGGAAGTCATTCTGCACATGCAAGTAGTTAGCTGAGGACTGTCCTACAATAGAACCACTGTAACTGTGGATTTTGATGAAAGCCACCTGGAAAACAATTTCTGTCTTTAATCAACAGCGTTGGCACAACGGTAGGTATCCAGAGAAAGAATACTAACCAGAGAAACTCATGATGCTAAGTGATGTTTTAACAGGATTTGATGACTTGGCCTATAGTTCATTCACATTTTTGTATTGCATATATTCAAGGAAATAAAACAGCCTATTGCAATGTCTCAGCCAATATTCACAGAAACAAAATTCTACTGACAAGAATTCAACCCATACTTGCATTCAAACCAGATCCATGAAAATATGACACTGATTTCTTTTCTTTATCTTTTGGCAGTAATGAGATCTAGAAAGGGTCTTCAGTGCAGAAACAGTTTTGATTTACACTGATTTAATTCCTTTGACTACTATTCTTTAATTCATATTGTTGTAGCTAGCTTAGAGAGGAGGCCTGGTAGAAAGTCAGGCACACTTAGGTGTACTAGCTTCAAGCAAATCCAATCACAACTTTTAAAAATCGAGTTGGGATATATTTTGGAATATTGGGTTGCATCCAGACCTGGCATTCCATGAATGGAAGAGATCTTTCTGTTCATGGAACTGAGTGAGATCCAGGAGGATCCACAGACAGGATGAGATGTGAGTAGAGGCTATTTTTCTGCGATTTCTCCTTCCCTCTGCATCCCCAAATGGGCACTTTCCATGCTGTTCTGGAAGGTCCCCAAACCTCCTGTAGCAAATTTTCAAAGTATGGCAGATTCAGACAAGGCAGGGAAACTGACAAAAATCACCTTTTTCCTCACAGGAATATCCAGGTTGCATGAGGTACAAGCCATTATGCTTTCTGAAAATCATGAAGTAGGCCACAAAATCTCCTGCTTGAAGTATATTCCAAATAAAACATGAAAAACAGAAATAAGACAATACTGGTTCTTGCATAAAAGAATGACTGATATTATTTTCCTTTAATGGGATCTAACCGAACAAGTGGACTATCCCTACCTCAAAAATGTTTCTTTTCAAAAATATAAAAAATGAAGATGTGAAATGAACATTGTTCTATTTCCAATCAATTTGCAACCTATGTCAAACAGACATTTATAAAATATATTGCAAGTAAATTAAATCTGACTTCACCAGAATGAAAATGGGAAATGTTACAAAAGTGCTGAGGATTTGTGTTCCAGTGTAAGATTACTGTGGATGTTTCACTTTATTGAAAGTTTGGAAAAGTAATACTTTAGAATATCATACGCTATATATACACACATCTCTCAAGTAAAATGTTGGATTACCTTATAAATCGTGTATAGAGACTACATATCCGATGAAGACTAAAATAAATAACAGATCTTTTACTCTCTAGAAATCAGTGTAATTTATCGCTTGATATGTCCCAACAGTGTTTATTGGCCAATTCTTAAGCCTGAAGATGCGGTTAATTGCCACTCAGTTTCTTCATGATAGGGCTGTCAGGTGAAGCATTAGTGAAAATACTTCCGACTACCACGTGTGTTCCCCAGAGATTATGACGAATAACTTTACAGCAGCCAAGGTCCTCCACATAAAATCCTAAATGGCGGTAGCGTTCATCAGTTTCAAAAAGGGTGTTGTTTGTATAAGGGCCAAAAAACTGCAAAGAAAGCACAACAAAACACGGTGTACATTTATAGTAAGATTCCTGAATATATTTCAACATAATAGATCAAATTAGTTTTAAGTCTAAGCTTAAATGCATTTAAATGTCATGACAGAAAATGTACAACTACTGGTTTTGCATTGACATTTCTATAGAGGGATAACTATACTGTTTATTATATCCCATGGCAACTAGAAATTCTGGAGCCCACAGATCCAGCCCTCAAATTGACACTGTTACCAGGAAAGTGCACTTCCAATTCCTTGGATTTTATGAATCAATAGCCTGGTCCCTGTGGCGCAATGGTTTAGTGTGTCTAGCTGCTAACCGGAAGGTTGATGGTTCAAGCCCACACAGGAACAGCTGTGAGCAGGATTCCCTTCCAATATTTATATGATTCTATATACTGCAACAGCAGATTCTAGCAGTGCCCATGCAAAGACAGTAAAGATTCACCAACGAAAGTTGGGTAAAAAACTATGTACACATTTAGTAGGAGAATATAACAGTCTTAAAGGTAAAGGCAAAGGTAAAGGGACCACTGACATTTATAGTCCAGTTGCAAATGACTCTGGGGTTGCGGCTCTCATCTCGATTTACAGGCCAGGGAGCTGGTGTTTGTCCGCTCTGCAGACAGTTTTTCTGGGTCATGTGGCCAGCATGACTAAGCTGCTTCTGGCGCAAAGGAACACCGAAGCCAGAGCAGCACATGGAAACACCGTTTACCTTCCCGCCGGAGCGGTACCTATTTATCTACTTGCACTTTGATGTGCTTTCGAACTGCTAGGTTGGCAGGAGCTGGGAGCGAGCAATGGGAGCTCACCCCGCCATGGGGATTTGAACCGCTGAGCTTTTGATCAGCAAGCCCAAGCCTCAGTGGTTTAGACCGCAGCGCCACCCGTGTTCCTATAACAGGTCTGAGTGCTTTGCTATTCCATACTGACTAGCTTTTCAAATAATTTGGATCTAGGACATTTCTAAGGGCCCTGATGTGGGACATTTTTTTTTTTACAATTAGAAATAATACTGATATGGTTGTACATGAAATAATTGTCAAAGGAACATCTCAAATACCTACAATCCATGACACACCACAATCCTGGTCTGAAAGAACTACCGTATTTTTCGCTCTATAGGACGCACTTTTTCCCCTCCAAAAATGAAGGGGAAATGTGTGTGCGTCCTATGGAGCGAATGCAGGTTCCTTGGCTTCGCAGCGACGCACCTGTCCTGTAAGCCGGAGGAGGAACCGAAGGGTCTCCTTCTGTTCCTTCTCCAGCTTCGCTGAAGGGGCGCTGCGCCTTCTCCATCTATGCGCAGCGCCTCTCCTGTGGAGAGGCGCTGCGCAGAGAGAGCGAAGGCGTAGCGCCCCTTCAGCGACGCGCCTGTCATGCGAAGCTGGAGGAGGAACAGAAGGGACTCCTTCTGTTCCTCCTCCCGCTTCGCAGCGACGCGCCTGTCCAGCGAAGCCCGAGGAGGAACAGAAGGGTCTCCTTCTGTTCCTTCTCCAGCTTCGCTGAAGGGCGCTGCGCCTTCTCCTTCTGCGCAGCACCTCTCCTGTGAAGGAGAGGCGCTGCGCAGAGAGAGAGAAGGCGCAGCGCCCCTTGAGCAACGCGCCTATCAAGCGAAGCCGGGGGAGGAACAGAAGGGTCTCCTTCTGTTCCTTCTCCAGCTTCGCTGAAGGGGCGCTGCGCCTTCTCCCTCTCTGCGCAGCACCTCTCCTGTGAAGGAGAGGCGCTGCGCAGAGAGAGAGAAGGCATAGCGCCCCTTGAGCAACGCGCCTATCAAGCGAAGCTGGAGAAGGAACAGAAGGGTCTCCTGTTCCTCCTCCCGCTTGGCAGCGACAGCGCCTGTCCTGGAAGCCGGAGGAAGAACAGAAGGGTCTGCTTATGGTTCTTCTCCAGCTTCGCTGAAGGGGCGCTGCGCCTTCTCCCTCTCTGCGCAGCACCTCTCCTGTGAAGGAGAGGCGCTGCGCAGAGAGAGAGAAGGCGTAGCGCCCCTTGAGCGACGCGCCTGTCATGCGAAGCCGGAGGAGGAACAGAAGGGTCTTCTTCTGTTCCTTCTCCAGCTTCGCTGAAGGGGCGCTGCGCCCTCTCCCTCTCTGCGCAGCGCCTCTTCTGTGAAGGAGGGGCGCTGCACAGAGAGAGAGAAGGCGCAGTGCCCCTTCAGCGATGCGTCTGTCCTGGCTTCTGCTTTAGCCCTGCACAGCCTCTTTGGGCAGGGGGAGCCTTCATCCCGCTGCCCTGAGGAGGCTTGGCGCGGTTACCCCAGAAGCCAGAACAGCCACACGGTATCCCAGAAGCCAGATCCCTCTTGCTGTTCTGGCTTCTGGGGTTCAGAATAATTTTTTCTTGTTTTCCACCTCCCATAACTAGGTGCACCCTATGGTCCGGTGCGCCCTATGGTGCGAAAAATACGGTAGGTTAAAGGGGGGGGGAGGTGAGAGACAGAGTGGTGTAGTGATTCCAGTGCTAAACTAGGACTAGTGTAACCCAGATTCATATTCTCACTCAGCCGTGAAGCTCACTGGGTGACCAGGAGCCTATAATTCTCTCAGCCTATCCTAAGATTGTTGTAAGAATAAACTCAGGGCTGGGGAGAACTATGTGCACTGCTTTGAGATCCTTGGAGGAGAAAATAGATGTAATAACTAAAACAAATAAAAACAGTCTTGCGTTCTTTTGTTTAACTGCCTCTTAAGGTGCCAGCTATGACAACGGTTTCTATGATATAGCCGAGAATTAAGAAAGACTGTCACAGACATTCCAGAAACAATTTTAAATAGCCTTTAAAATGGTTTCAAGTGGAACGAGCAGAAACTCAAGTAGGAGTCGTCATATTCCTTTTTTCCCCTTGTCTGAGACACACAGTGCTCAGCCTCCCTCTTCTTGCTGTGCTTTGGTAGAAATACTTACTGCCAATCCTGAAGTTGGATCAATGAAATCTGCCCAATAGCCTTCGGCACACAAAGCATAGCAAATTTCCTTGGCACCACTGATAAACTAAGAAGAGAGGAAATAAAAGATGCTAAGCACACTTTTAAGGCTAATGTATATTCCATTTCCCCAGCAAACAAATGTGAAATTGAACACAGTACTGTTATTCAACTCTGTCAACCGAGACTAAGAGGATTAAAATTAATAACCTATATTGAGATACAATGGTCACATGGAACCTAGAAGAAATTCTTTGTGATGGTCAGTGAAGCATTAATAGTTCTGCACAGGCAGGAAAATATAACTGATTGCTCGGGTTGGTTGCAGTGTTGCCATACCTGCAAATACAAAAAAATTAAACAAATCCATACCTCACCTGTTGCCCACTTTCATGCATGCTCCTTTTGCCTTAGGTTTGTTTCCTAGTCTCAACCTCCTGTATCTTGATCAGTAAAGCACTTTTTGCAGTTCTCTAATCCACAATGGCAACTCTGCCCAAAACCTATGCCAAGAAAATTATCGTCCAAACACAAAGCACAGATGCTCAAAACTCCTGCTAACCTCTAAATACATGGTGCTAATTTAGAAAGAAACAGAATCTAAAAAGGAGCTACATGAGAGTGTGGGATGAAACTGTGCACACAGATGGAACGCTCTTTTATTTTTGCCAGAATAGACTCTATTGTCAAAGAAAGTGACACTTCTTAATTTAAAAATTCAGGAGAAGCGTGCCTCTTCAACAAAAGGAATTGTGGAGGTTCTCACCAAATGCACTCGTATATCCTTTGCACTACGGCAAAAGATACTACATTTAACATATCCAATGGAAAAGCTAACTGTGGTTTGGTAGGCTGCCCCTGTATGGGAAACATCACTTGAAACTGATTTTGCTAGGAACCCCCCAGAGAACTACTCCTCAATAAGAAAGGAAAGGAATTAAGAAAGAGACCAACAAAAGACAAGGAAAAGGGCAAGTATAAACAACAAGAAGAAGAAATGCAGAAGGGACATGGAAGAGACTTAAGGGCCTCGGACATAAGGCTTCCAGGTTGATGGACTAGATGGATTGGACAGTAAGGACTGACACGACCCGAGACCAGGAAGATGAGACGTTGGATGAAGATTGGAAGAAAATTTATAAAGGAAACGTTTTATTTAGGGAATTGGCTAAAAATTAATGAATATTAGGGAAAATGTTGGAATGAAACTATATGACTCTAGCAGAAATGATATCAGGAGTTATGTATATTTGAAAACTAAGATTTAAGCTTTAAGGTATTTTAGGGTAAGATATGGTTAAATAAATTAAGGCAATTTGTATAACAGAATATGGGGAAAGATGGTAAGGATTTGCTGAGCTAATTATAAAGTTAAACTGTCAAGATAAATTTTTTAACAAAAATTGAGAAAGATGGAAAGAATTTGCTGAAATAATTAATTAAACTAGAATACAAAAAGGGAGGTGTGAGGAGGTCAATGAAACAAGCAAATGGAAGTTATAGATATGTAATTTGGGATCTATGTTGTTTTCTTTTTTCTTGTGTTTTCCATTTTTCTTTTTTGTTGTTGTTGTATTGTTGTTTTCACTTCCCCCCCTTTTTATGTATTACAGTGTTGTTTTTAATTTTTCTTTTTTCTTTATAACCTTGAAACTACTAATAAATCTTATTTAAAAAAAAGAAAAAAAGAAACTGATTTTGCTAGTTTGCATTCCATTTGTTCAACACTTTGACACCTAAAACTATATAGTGAAGAAGCCAGGCGAACCTCCCCGGGGAGAGCATTGCACAAATGGGGAGCCACTACAGAAAAGGCCTGTTCTCAGGTTGCCACCCTCCGGACCTCTCGAGGCACACAATGTTGTACAGCCGCATCCCCTCATTTATTTGAAATTGATAAATACACACATTTCTTTCTCGAAGCATGTAAGCCAGATATCTGGACCCTTTATCATAAGGGCTTACTCAGATTCCGAATAATCTTAAAACAGAACAGATTTATATTCAGTGTGGACCTATTTTTCCAATTAGTCAAAGGTCTACGTATCTGTCCATTTCAATTTCAGATTAAGCCAACGGAACCCCAGTAAACAGTCTAAACATGTTTATGCACTGGACTCTTTTGATCCTGGTGAATTACAATCTCACAGTAGCCACTCACCAAACAGATGTTAATTAAGACAACTTGAGTCTTCAATACAATAACACCTTCATTTGCCTGCCACTAACTCTCATTACTTTACTCCAAGTCTCTCATGTTAAGTTAAGTTCTCCTGAGATTGTCTACAATGCAAACAAACAGTCCATTCTATTGTGAATTTGCTGTTAGTAACCTTTAGGCCAGAAGGTTACGTCTACCATCCCAGCACCCTTGTGTTCAATATATTGGAATTGACAGGAAGGTGGACAAGGAAGGAGGAGGACAATTAAAATATAATTAGACCAGATTACAATGCCAAGGCCCAACAGACCATGACTAACACAGAGACACTGACACGCTAAAATGAGAGCTTTATTCTGTGTGCAGCTTTCATGGTGATGACTGACCACTGCACTCTCCTTCCTAACCCCTTGAAAACCTTTAGAACCCATATAAATGCTTATTTGCCATTGTGAAACTTTCTCAAATGGAGTTAAAGGAACTGCAGTGTGGCTGGTGTTAACTAGAAACTGGTCTCAGATATATTAGCCAAAAAATCAAGTTGAAATAAAAGAAACTGGCATTTTTAGGTTATTTTAAAAGCACTATTAAAGTACAGAAAATTTTCAGAAAATAACATATGGGGAAAAATTCAGCAGCAGCAAAACACTGACATTTGTCGGGATACAACTATTGATTCCAAAGCCAAGCAAAAAACGTACATTTAAGAAAGGATGACCCCTAGTGGCAATTCTGCATATAATCACTTGGGCAAACAAAATGTCTGATTTATTTACTGCAATTATTAACAGATGTGGTATAAAAGGTTCAACTTAGTAAACTGAATGTAAAACATTAAAGCATGTAGCTAGTGCGTATGCATAAAATATATTTAAAGTTACCATTTTTTAAAGTCAGGTAGGTAGCTGTGTTGGTCTGACGCAGTCGAAATAAAGTAAAAAATTAAAAAATTGTCCAGTAGCACCTTAGAGACCAACTCAGTTTGTTCTGGGTAGGTATAAGATTCCGTGTGCATGCACACTTCTTCAGATACACAGATACACTTCAGATATGTGTATCTGAAGTGTGTGTGCACACGAAAGCTTATACCCAGAACAAACTTAGTTGGTCTCTAAGGTGCTAGTGGACAATTTTTAAATTTATTTTTTAAAGGAAAAATCAAGATGGGCATTAAATGTTAAGGACCAAGCGTTAGTCGTGTACATCCAAATTCTTTCTAAGAGAGCTTCATTAACACTGGGTCACAAAATATTGGGTCACAACCTATAATGGTCACCCACTCTTAGGGCAGACTCCACATTCCTAAAGCATGATATCAAGCACTGAATCCAATACAACACACAAACGCACATGGTCTCACCTCCAATGAGAACAGTATCATAATTCACTGCCCAAAGCTGATGAGACTTACATTTTCTATCAGATTTTCTCGCTCATTTTCCACCTCTTCACTCCATGCAGTCATATCATTTATTGTCTTCTGTGTTACTGTTAAGACTGTGAGGTTATTGGAAGTTCCTTCTGGAAACATTGACTCAAAATCTACGAAGGAAGGAAGAAGTCAATGAAACTCAACTGCACAATCTTAGCCAGGCCTACCTGAGAACAAGTCCTACTGAATTCAGGTAAACAGGATTAGGACGGCAGCCTTAGGTGATTGTTACAGTTCTTTTGCTCCACCAGCAGTGGTGCCATGCTGGAATTGAGCTGCTTGCCTGAGCTCCACCTGGCTGAGTCACTGCAGCAAACCAGGACAGAAAGAGGGAGGGACAATGTAGCATGGTGTCAATGTGCCAGGAAAGAGTGCCAGATCGCACCGTGCCAATCTCACCCTTCCCTCTTTCCATTCTGGTATGCTGCAGTGACTCAGTCAAGAAGATGAGAAGCACAGCCCCACCTCTCCGTCACCGGCTACCCTCCGTCAACCCCATTTGTAAGTATGGGGAATTGCCACAGTGCTCTTCAACAGCTTGCACACACAATGGAGACGTATTTACTACAGAAAGGATGACTGTCAGGTTCCCAGGCTAAAGGTTTTGCTCATCTGGAAAAGCGCACTGTTGCTTGCTTTTTTTTAGAATAAAGACAAAAAGAGGGTTAATTTATGCAACCGAAAAGAAAACTGTGACGCTCCAGCAAAAAAAAAAAAGAAGGGGAAAAAAAGGGTCAAGGTATAAAGTCTACTGAGATAATGAAAATTTTGAAAAGGAGGATGAGGGCAGCAGCACCCATACCTTTGCGCAACAGCTCTGGACACGCTTGTATTGCACATTCTACCTTAGTGGTTTCAAAGTAGGCCTTGGCATTACTAACTTCTTGTTTATGAGGAGGATTACCGTTCTGAAAACAAAAACAACAACAGGTAATTGTTCAGAGCTACGTACAACAGTAACGCCAGCAGTGTTATTTGATATTTAAATTTGCCCCAGCTCTTATTCTTAAAATTAGCAAAAAGTTGTACCCTCTAAGGCTGGGCGATACCTGGTTTTCAACACAGTGCTATATCACCAGCTAAACACAGAGAGATATGCTGATACATGACAATGTCTGAAATAAGGATGAAGCTATGCAGAAGAGGCATTGGCTGGCTTCACGGTTTCCCCCACATTGTGCTTTTTTGCATAGCACACGCGCACACACCATGATTCGCAATATAGTGCCAAGTCAAAAATTATGAAGCCAATATCACGATATGGATTTCAAGCCAGTTTTGGGCCATATATCACCCAGTTCTAGTATCCTCAAGCTTCTGCACAGCTGAAGTACAATTCTATTCCAGACAATTCTATTCCAGGGCACCACTCCAAAAATACTATGATAGCCCACCTGTAACACAGGGGTGGGTGCTCATTTCAAAATCAGGAGAGAAAGACCATGTGCCTGCTTTTTTGCTAGGCAGGCCAGTTACTTTGGAGCTATGTTTTCCACCTGAGTTCTTACCTGGAACTCGTTGACGTACTGAGCCATCACAAATTCATGCCTTTCGCTTGCCAGGGGCTCCACTAATATGTCAGGCAGTTTTTTGTGCGCTTGTGTTGCCTTCTGAATCCCTGCACCGTTCAGGTGACAGTCAAAGCCTATGTTCCCCGGGAGCTGAAATCGTTGGTCTTGCGGACCAAAGGGTCCCATCGCCTCATCGGGCCACACAGTTCTTGGACCTGCCAAAAGTTAAGAGTTAAGTCGTTTAAACACACACATACAATTGCACTGTGTTATAAAACACAAACGTTTTTTGCACACCGCTCAGTAAGCTAGTAACTCAAGTTCAAGCAGAAAACGGGAAAACTAAGTTCCATTGAACTTCATGATACTTAATTCCAAGTATGTTATGACCAGAGGAACCATAAGATACAGATGATTTGAAAGACATATTGTGTGTGGTATCCAACTAACACACCCTCTGAGAGGCAAGGATTTCCACTTGTGCAACAGAACTCTCCACAGCTCCCCCCCAAACCTGTTCTAGAGCTCTGGAGCAGATGTGGGGAGGGCGTGGGGTGCACCCAGGGGAGGAGGAGGAGGAGGAGGGGAGAAAGTCCACTGGACAAGCAAAAAGCCTTGTGCTGATGATACGCGTTAGATGGATACAGCTATATGATTTCCCCCACAATACAGCTAATTTTAGATGTAAACACAGGTGAAACAAATTCTTGGAATGTTTCTTACATATGTCTGGGGGTGCAGCAGCAACAGAAGGCTCGTCTGAGCCAGAGGACCCTGCTGTGGAAAAGGCCTTGGGAGTTACAACCCTTCTAACCAAAGAATAAAATCCCGGAAGGTACGTCACCAGTCTAGCTCTGTTACAAAGTACCTAAAGGGGACACAAAGAGAACTGAATGTAGCATATATTGCACATCAAAACAACAAGTCAGTATGCAGAGACGCATTCCGTAGGGATGGAGGAATCTTATTAGCTGAATTTTGCATCCCGACCTTCTATATTACCAATGTACTACACTTTCTTTGGGTGTGGCTAAAAAATTAAAAGTTTAGTATGAAAAATTCCGCGTGCTGGAATTTTTGCACACCGTTTGCCATATGGATAAAATGCTGCATTAAGTAAATGACACTTTTTATCTAGCAAAAGAAAAAAGAAAAGCGCCACAATACATACATGGAATGTGTTCAAACATCTGATAAGCAAAGCGTATTAAAAGAAAAAACACACGTGAGTAGGTTCTTTCTTCCGGCAAGGGTAGTTAAGAAGAGCAGACAAGTTAGTTCCTCTGGTTTATCAGGAGACGGCACATTTCCCACTGCAAAGCTGGCAAGCCACTTAGGGTAAGGCGACCATACTACTTGGCCATTCTGTATGCATTCAATCCCAGACCCATGCAACTGTAGTGAGCTCACGCCTAAGCTTAAAACTCTCATGACAACAAAACCGGGGGAAATCTTACAACACACGAACCGCAGGGAAAATGGCTTCAATTTCTCTTCCTGAATCTGAAAACAGCCTGAATCAACAGGGCTCAGATGTGCGATATCATCTTGGTGTAGTTTTATTCTGAAGCTTAACGACAACAAATGCCAACATTATTAACTACTGCACCACTGATTAATTTGGCTGACACCGTGCTCAAGTGCTTGTCTTGCAATCCCAACCTCCCAGGTCTAACCTTTTGAAAAGTATTGCAAGATTATTAAGAGCTCACAAGGCAACTCTCTTCAGCGGAATATATATATATTTTTTACAGTTCCACCATTCCGTTTAGAAATGCATCTGCAGCCAATGTGGGTTGGCATTTGTTTTGTTTTTTAAATAAAAAGCCTGGCTAGATATTGCATCAAAATCCAGAATGCTTTAGAAAGGAATCTAAAAGGTAAGGTGCTAAACAGGGAATGCAAACTCAATGATTTCTAAATTTGAAAGGTTGTTTTTTACAGGTTAGCTTCAAAAATGGTTATTTTTTTAATTTGGAGGTACACAATCTTTACACTAAGTTTTACAATTCTTATGATACATGCATCCTTTCCTAAAATAATGTAAGAAATATAGCAGTTTTATGTTACCTATGGCGTACTGCCCACAGCAACGTATGTTTCTGTGACCCACTGGCCCCAGTGACCCAGTACTAGACTGCTACAATACCTAATCCCACATCCTAGCAAAAAGCAACCCTCTTCTTTGCACCAGATGCAACGTGCACAGTGCTAATATAAGGACAATAGTTGCAGCTATGGTTGCGTAGACACAACATGAAGTAATGCAATCTGAAATCACACTATGCATATGTTTTTTCAACACTGAGCCTTTCTCGGTTTTCGGCTCATTCGCAGCTCTTTGCACTGCATTAGTGGCCACTGTCAAGAATCCCATGTTTTGAAAGCAGTTGGTCCAGTGGCAGCACAGAAAAAGGGGCAAGTAAGAAAAGGATCATAACTAGACAAACCAAATCAAAAGAAGGAAGGCAACGGGAAGGCAGTAACAGAAAAGGGCAAAACAATCTCAAGGATGCACAAATATGATGATTTGTATTGGCCCAATGTGTTTCAAAGGATATTTCTTCTGTAGGGACACTGCATATCACTAGTATACTGCCAAAACTTCATGTGGCTGTTATGGGAGTTGTTTCGTTCTGGTATACTTACGTTTCTCTTTTAAATGTGTTGTAAGTTTTCTGAACACCTTTGGGTAACAAGCAACAACAACAACAAGCACACCATTCTGTTCTCTAGTGTTATGGAGCACACTAAAGAACACAGAGGTGTGCATTTTAAGTGTCCTTAAGAAGTATATTTGGAAAGATGTTTAGCCAATAAAACATTTCAGTTTTGTGCATGGTAGAGATTCTATCTCACCCTATTTCCACAAACAGAAAAGGACCTCTGAAGCCCTTAAGGAAGGTCCATTCATGGTTTTTATAGGCATGTCAGTTTATATGATGAAAAACAGTAATTCCAATTCAAACTTGAATGGTGCAACATTTCATACAGTTGTAAATGTTCAGGCTTAAATGTGTTATTGCATCAAAGCCTAAGTTTTGAACCCAGAATATGAGCTTTCAAAAATGCATTAATGCTGTTATTATTATTATTCAAAATGCATATGCTCTGCCTCTCTCATTATATCGGTAAGCTATCTGAGCCAACAGAAGTGTACAATAAGGAAATCTGTATAACTGATTTAAGATCACATTGGCTACACTCCTGCATATGTTCCTTTTTCTTGTTCCTTTTCCCTTTTGTTCCATGTATTTTAGACTGTAGGCCTGCAGGAACTGTCTTATCTTTTAATCCCTGAACAACCTGTAGAAAACTGTAGGCGTTTCATACGTGATAAATAAATTGTTGTTAAATCTAACAGAAATAAATCAAATGTAACCAACTTAATTCTTAGTCCACAAGCCTACATACACTTTAGGAATGAATCTTGTTGAACTCGGTAGGACTGACTTCTGAGTACACCCACAAAGGATTGGGTTGCACTAGTTTCTACAATTAAAGCCTTTATAATTTATAGGTTGATGCCTAAGAACTGTGGGGAGTGTTCCTCAAGAGGAACAGGATTTGCCTCCCCAGACACCTCCCAAAGCAGCAGCAGATGCTGGGCTGAAGGGAGAAACTGGTAAAAATACCTTCCATGCACACAAGAAGCCCATAGGATCCAATCCCACATCTTTACAGGCCCACACCCTCCAAATTCTTGTGTGTACCAAATCCAATGTTTTAGGTATTTATAGGACAGTGGAAAATTCAGTTTGCCAGTGAATAATCCAGTGTTCTAGGTATTTCAGTAGTGATGCAAATTACTTCCTAAAGCATTCCATATTATGAAGCTGCACATCTTTTTTTTTAACCTATCTAGTTCAGCTCAGTAGTGCATCATGATTTACATCATACTAAAATGTATACACCAGTCTAAGTGTTTCCATTTTTGACTTCACAAGTTTATACATCAAGAAACTTCATAAAGCACTATTCATATGTCATGTCACATAAGCTAAGGAACAAGAATAGAAACAGGAACACATTTAGAGACATTTGTATGGCATTCTTAACAAACACTGAAAACAGCAATATTACTTACAGTGGCCATTTGCATGGGTATCTTCGTCTAAAGATTTTTCCTAAAACAGAGACATACACACCAGAGTGGCTGGTTATACAACACGTTGGGCCTGAGCTGCAACTTGTTAAGGATCCATGCCCAAAAACTTCCGAGAACTGCCTGAACCAGCTGTTAGAACCTGTGCAAAACAAACCAGAACTATGTTTTTTTTCACTTTACCACAAAACTACAAAGGGATGCAGATATTATTTTGCTTCAGCAGGAGGGGAAAGTGTATGTCAATAGCTTATAAATAGTTGCATGACTACAGTTTTGGAATTTACATTCAGTTAAACATCTAAATCTCTAGCCTTTCCATTGTGCAGAGAATTTTTTTGATGCTAATGCAAACCTTAAAAAAAGCAGGCTCAGAAAGTAAAGAAACCTGTTTGTAAAATTTACACCCTGTTCAACTGGAGATCTTTGTCACCTCCAGAGCACTAGTTAAAGCACTGTCCATGTGAATTTTAAATTCTTTTAAAATTTCAACACTAAAGTTGAAACACAAAAAGGAACTTGTGATTCTGAGATGAAACGCATAGTACTTTTGAATAATTTCCTTGAAACTCTTGACAGATGGGAGCTTATTTCTCTTTCACGCTTCCTTTTTAACACTGGCACACATTGCAGGCAATTCACAAGCTGCAGATGCCTGAAAAACTCTTTTAGGTTGTTAAGAGATCTGACCATTCTGGTGCCCATGAAAACAATTTTGAAGAGGACTAGGACAGCTTCATGATGACAAATGGGAAGAGACAAGAAACCAGAAACCTCCTTGCCCAATAACCCATTTTCTCCCCACCTCACTGCCAGATAAAATTACCATTGCTGGCTTCACTCCCTTTAACCACCCCAGAATCAGGTTTCTTTCCAATCTCCTATACAGTACATACACAGAAAAATGTGGTGGTTTTCTGCCTCATGCTTAGCCAGTGCACACCTCGGGCCGAAGTGATGCGTTAGGGGATTTCTTTTTTATTTTATTTAGATGATGATCGCCCCAGACCCTCCAAGTGACCCTATTTTCCAGGGACAGTCCTGAATTTACAGAAGCTGTTCCGGTTTCTGACTTGATCCCGGAATGTCTTGCTTTTCCTTAGGATGTCCCTCTTTTCATCAGAGAAACGTTGGAGGGTATGGAGTTAAGTGACACCCCCCAGCCAAAGAGATAAGTACCTATACAACATAGGTACTTATGTTTAGAAGACATCTGAAGGCACCCTGTATAGGGAAGTGGTGGTTTTTGTTATTTTTAATGTTTAACGCTAACCAGGCCTTTGGTTGATCCAATTTACATCCTATGCCCTTTTAAAATGTGTTGGGGTTTTGTTTTTTTTTGTAGAGGGGGGTGTTACTGGGTTGTTGTTTTAATTTTTATTAGGTATTTTGTGGTTTTATAGCTTGATTTTATTCTGTGAATTGCCCTGAGACCCCAGGGTATAGAACAGTATATAAATTCAATAAATAATAATAATTTTGTTTTTATGTATGTTGGAAGCCGCCCTGGGTGGCTGGGGCAATCCAGTCTGAAGGGCGGAGTATATAAATAATTTTTTTTAAAAAAATAATTATTAGTTGAATTTATATACCACCCTATACCTGGAGGTCTCAGGGCAGTTCACAGAATAATGATAAAAATTATTATTATTATTATGGAGAAGGACATCCCTATTTTCATTGGAGAAACACTGGAAGAGACGCATCCCTTTCTAACAACAAAAGCAACAAGGGACCTTGGACTTGCAGTAGCTGCTGCGCAAATACGGGAGGCTCCCCAGTCCTGCCACTGGGCGGCTGTTCACTGCTGGCCAGCGAGGATCCCACTTGCATCAGTGCTGGATTTACGTACTGTATAAGCTAAACAAGCTATAGCTTAGGGCCCCAAAAAAATTTAAAGGAAAAAAACCTGGATGTACATTTCCAAAACGTAAGAGCTCCTGTTGCCCAGTCCCTGCTCCTGTGAACCTAGCAGTTCGAAAGCACCTCAAAGCGCAAGTAGATAAATAGGTACCGCTCTGGTGGGAAGGTAAACGGCGTTTCCGTGCGCTGCTCTGGTTCGCCAGAAGCGGCTTAGTCATGCTGGCCACATGACCCGGAAGCTGTACGCCGGCTCCCTCGGCCAATAAAGCGAGATGAGCGCAGCAACCCCAGAGTCGGCCACGACTGGACCTAATGGTCAGGGGTTCCTTTACCTTTTTTTAAGATAAAAAACAAATACAGTGGTACCTCTGGTTACATACTTAATTCGTTCCAGAGGTCTGTTCTTAACCTGAAACTGTTCTTAACCTGAAGCACCCTTTAGCTAATGGGGCCTCCCACTGCCACCGTAGCACGATTTCTGTTCTCATCCTGAAGCAAAGTTCTTAACCCAAGGTACTATTTCTGGGTTAGCGGAGTCTGTAACCTGAAGCGTCTGTAACATGAAGCGTATGCAACCCGAGGTACCACTGTAAAATAAAACCTACATACAGCAAGTCTTTTGTGTTGTGTATGGACCTATTAGGTCCATAAATTACCATATAGCATATATTCAACACAAAAAACAGCGACAATTTGTTGTTGACAAATTATAGCTGGACATATCAAGGGCCCCATTACCTTCAGTAGCTTAGGGCCCCATCAAACCTAAATCCGGCCCTACACCTGCTCCCCAACCCCCGTCTAGGGTCCAAGAGCGACGGGATGGTTTGAGACTGGGAACTGAAGCGGCTAGTCCGCATTGAGGAGCTGCGTGCGTAGGGACAGCGCTTATCTGAAGGGGAGGCGGTGGGGGGGGGGCGAAGGTGGGAGCGGGGCCTGAGGGCGCCTCTGGCCCAAAGTTTAAGCGGGGGGGGGTGTCAGGAAGTTCCATTTGGCGGGGGGGGGGGCTGGAGGAAGGGAGACGCCGCTGACCGGGCTCGTTACCTCTTTTTTCTTTTCACGTTCTGTTTGTTCCTGTAAAATGGCAACCCCGGGCCAAAGCAATCGATCCTCGCCTCCGTCGTTTCCAAAGGGTAGTGGGAGGGGGGGGAAGAAAGAGGGAAAAGGTGTCGGCGGGGAGAGAAAACGAGACGCTCGACGCGCGACTCCCCTCCCCTTTTTTTCCTGCTTAGCCGGCTTGCGGGCAGGCCGAAGCAATCGAGCCGACGTCTCTAACGACGGAGCTGCCGGCTGATGGGGGGGGGGGGGGGAGAGAGAGAGAGATTGTCGAATCCTCGAAAAGGCTTGCCTAATCGAGTGCTTCCGCGTCGATGCGGAGAGTAGGCGGAGTCAGCAGAGAGGCTTTGCCCGCGCAGGTTGGTCGGTGCAGTTTTGTTTAAGGCGCGCGGGGTGCAAAAGAGGCGCAGCCCGAGTGGAGTAACTGGGTGGCCTCTCGAGCACCTTCTCAGCTCAGGGGTTTGCTTTCCGTATCAGAAATGATTTTCTTTTCTTTTTTCTTTACTCTCCCAGAGGGGCTGACAGTGTTAGGGTGTTTCCACTTAGTTTGCAAATGGGTAGCTGAGATATTATTGCAAACGGGACATGGACAATTTTTGTTTAACTTCTCTCCTTTCAAAAAGAGGGAGAGATCCGCGTTAAATGGTTAAAAAAAACCATGGGGTGGCGTTTTAATGGCAAGGACGTCCTGTGAATACTGCAACGCACAAACACAGGTGTACACACATCTTGTATGCGTGGGAACCTAGGCTACAATAAATGCCTGCTTGGAAGCGCCTTCAGGTTGTGTCGCAGCAAAAGATCTTTAAGCAGGGCCTAGGATACTATTATTTATTATTATTTATTAAACTTGTTGCTTTATCTTGCCAAAATGCCTTACAAACAAAAACAATACCCACCCCCAATAGATATATTAAAACCAACCGGAAACAAACAAACAAACAATAGACTAAAAACATCCCACTATGGCAGATACTATGGCATCTTCCGCACACCTTTCCAAGTGTGTTTTCAGCTGCTGCAGCCCATTCCTGCCAGTGGGTGGTAGTGCAAGGCTGTTCGGTCCTTGTTTTCTACAAGCATAGACCATTCCTTTCCCGAAGGTTTCTCACCTGCTACTTATTTCACCTTGCAGAGCATGTGCCCAACTCACAAAGAGTGGCAGGATTTTAAAACTTGTGGGGTTTTTAAAATGGTCAGCCTGCAGGAAGTGCTGCTTGTTGTGGAATCGTCCTGAATTTCTTTGTGCAGTTTGTTTAGACACCAGCCATCTCTGGCCACCCATTGCTGGCCTGTAATCCTGCATCCCTTTGCACTTGAGGAGACTCATTTTGTGTATTATATGCATGCAATGTAGGTGTGTGTATGTGTGTGTATACACACACACACACACACACACACACACGAATTGGCATTAGCAACTGTCTTATTTAACTTTAACATGCACAAACTTCACTTGTCAAACAAACTGTGGTGCAACCTGGTGCACTTATCAACATGCCCATAGCAGCACACCTGACCTATGTTCAAGTTGGTTAGGCTTTTTTTTAAAAAAACAAAACAAAAAAAAAAACAGAACAAACCGTGTGTGAAGTGGAGCTATGGTGCACCCTTGTGACAACTTGTAAAATAAAATTCTATTCTGTTTTTTGAGGTACCAACTCCGGAGGTGCGTGCATCTGGAGAAGATTATACTAAAGCTGAACTGGGGCCAACAGAAGAACATGGTCCCTGTAAGCATCACCCAAAGATGCAGGCTGTGTTTATACAAAACAGAGTTCCCATGTGCAGTGGGGACACTTCAGTGGAGGATCTCTTTGCCTATGTGGTGCTACAGGAGAAATGCCAACACCTTATGCTACATACTGTTTGAGATAACTGCAAGAGAGTAAGTATATCACTTCTCCAGGAGAAGAGATATACTTACTCTCTTGCAGTTATCTTAAACAATATGTAGCATAAGATGTTGACATACCTGTGCCGTACTGTTTATACAGTTTCTATCCAACAAAGGAGACCTGTATGAATTCAGATATAACCATGCAATTCTCTTGTCCTCCTTGCGGTACCCAGCCGCCTTCACTGTAACATACTTTTCAGTGTTGTAGTACTTTAAAAATTGTGCTGTACTAATCAATGGATGACACTCTGATGTGCTTAACTACCAATTCAATATGGATATTAATGAAATACAACATTAACTAAGTAACACAGACAGTATTGTTGCAATTCTATATTTAAGATTGAAATGCCATAGTAGATATTACTGCAATATTACATTCATAGTAACCTGACTCTCTCTTTTGTTAAACAGTCTATGACATCCATCTTCATTTACATTATCTTGAGGAACATCTGAACCTACTTTGGAAAATGCCTAGATTTTTTTTTTTTTTAAGTTTAAAGTGTAGCAGTGTGGTCTAAACCACTGAGCCTCTTGGGTTTGCTGATCAGAAGGACGGCGGTTCAAATCCCCGTGACGGGGTGAGCTCCCATTGCTTGGTCCCAGCTCCTGCCAACCTAGCAGTTCGAAAGCACGCCAAAAACTGCAAGTAGATAAATAGGTACCGCTCTGGCAGGAAGGTAAATGGCGTTTCCGTGCACTGCTCTGGTTTTGGTGTTCTGTTGCACCAGAAGTGGCTTAGTCATGCTGGCCACATGACCCGGAAAAACTGTCTGCGGACAAACGCCGGCTCCCTCAGCCTGTAAACGAGATGAGTGCCGCAACCCCAGAGTCGTCTGTGACTGGACTTAACTGTCAGGGGTCCTTTACTTTTACCTTTTAGCTAACTTTGAAAAATCTTTTTAAAATGTACATTTGTTTTCCAAAAACAAATGCCAGTAGCTAATTATTTAGTGAAAAATAAAACAATAATTTTAAGGAAACATGAATTTAAGGGTTGTGAATGATTACACATTGCAAAGACCTTTAAGCAGAGCTTTTTTTCCAGCCAGAACTTACCAGAATTCAGTTCTCAAGTGGGCACCATTGCCATTATAAGAGAACAAGAACAATGAATGAGGGTTCATAGTGAGCTCTGGCACCTCTTTTATCCCACTCTGTAAACTGTTTATCTTCAGATATATAGTTATTGGGGTTCATTTCACATGTGTTTGTGTGTATGTGTCATGGTAGTTAAGCACTTAGCAGTTGGCAGGGGAGCCAAGGTGTGTGTGGGATGGCATCCAGGCCATTTGCTTACTTGAACTGCAGCTTTAGTAAACTTTCACCCCAACTCTAAACCTGTTTATTCAGAAGCAAGCCACCCTGATTTCAGTGGGCTTTGCACCATTGGAGTGAGGACTGTGCAGCGGATTTTCGCTACTAAAATGTGATGCTCTGCTGCTGATCTCCACCAGATGGCAGCAATGATTTGTTTAAAATATTTCCTTTTTCTTTTTTTAAAAAAGAAACTTGTATACTTTATATCTTTCCCTAGAAATCACACCTGAACTATAGCTGGGCATAGCTGAAGGAAAAGGCAAATGAGACAAAGCAGGCAATGTAAAATCTGATGAAAGTAGGGGTTGGTTTGTTTGTTTTTTGAGGGGGAGAGGCATTTCTAGAACTCTGCTGTCAACCAAAGAGTAAAAATATAGCCAGCTCATACTTCCATGGAGCCAGGATATGTTAATGCAATTTACAGCTGAATCTAGATGTTGCCAGAGATGTGGAGCTCCCCTCCCTCTTGCAGATCTTTCATTTCCTCATAATGTTTAGTTCAAATGTTGCTGGACTACAACTCCTATTGTCCCCGACCGTTAGTCATGCTGGCTGAGTCTGATGGGGGCTGTAGTACAGAACATCTATAAGGCCACAGGTTCCCATCCCTGATTTAAGTAAAGGCAGCATGTGGCATGAAATGGTGGGTCAGTGGTGTCACAGACCCTCCAAGGGCCCCTATTTTTTTAGGGACAGTTCTGGATTTACAGAAGCCGTCCCGGTTTCTGATTTGATCCCGGAATGTCCCACTTTTCCTTAGGATGTCCTTATTTTCACTGGAGAAATGTTGGAGGGTATGAAGTTATGCGACCCCCGAGCCAAGAAAACAAGACATCTTTAGAAGACATCTGAAGGCAGCACCGCTGTATACACTGGCGGAGGAACGGGAATGTGGAGGGAGCCCCCTGTACCACTATTCCAGTAGGGTGCTGTCGCGGCAGCCCCCCTAACATGCGCCGCACGCCATACCCCCACAGGTGGCACGCCATGCCCCCAGAACACGCACCACGCCCCTGCGGGTGGCGTATCACACCCCCGGGATACGCGCCACACAACCATGGGTGGCGTGCCACACCCTTGGGAAGCACATCACGCCTCCGCAGGCGGCGTCCCACACCCCCGGGATGCGCGTCATGCTCCTAGGGGCGCCAGCCATGCCCCCGCCTGCTCTCCGCCCCGGTAGCGGAACATGCAACTTCGCCACTGCCTGTACAGGGATGTTTTTAAATGTTTAACGGCTGGCATATAAATTATTATTATTATTATTGAAGAGGATGTTCCTATTTTCATCGGAGAAATGTTGGAGGGTAGGTGTCATGTGTCTGGTTGTGTTTCGGAGTCATGAGGAGGCGGCAGTGCTGTGAATATACAAGGCAGCAGAGGCAGACCTTGGGGTCTCAAATTGCAGCAGTGCCCTGTGCAATGCCAAAATTCAGCACTCTTACACTCCATTGTAAATCATAGTTGTTGTTTCCCTGCGGTGCCCCTCCGGTGCGACCGAACTAGTTGTGCTCTCCCTAAATTGGCCTCTGGGGGCAGTGCTGGTCAAGTTTTTGTACATGCTTAAAAGTAGAAAGATCAGTGTGGGTTTTTTTTTCTTCCATTAGGATATATGGTTTATTTGCACAACATACATACAACCTGATTTGAATTATGGTGCTGGAGGAGACTCTTGAGAGTCCCATGGACTGCAAGAAGATCAAACGTATCCATTCTTAAGGAAATCAGCCCTGAGTGCTCACTGGAAGGACAGATTGTGAAGCTGAGGCTTCAATACTTTGGCCACCTCATGAGAAGAGAAGACTCCCTGGAAAAGACCCTGATGTTGGGAAAGATTGAGGGCACAAGAAGAAGGGGATGACAGAGGACGAGATGGTTGGAGAGTGTTCTTGAAGTTACAAACATGTGTCTGACCAAACTGCGGGAGGCAGTGGAAGGCAGGAGGGCCTGGCGTGCTCTGGTCCATGGGGTCACAAAGAGTCGGACACGACTAAACGACTAAACAACAACACATACAACCTGAGCCCAAGATGGAGGGGCTCACAGACTTAACACCCCAAAAGGTCTTGCTTCTTCCATACTGACAGCCTTGGAATCAAGCCCAAAGTAAACTGATCATTGCACTGAACTCCAGCAATGGAATCCTCCGTTAGATTTTAACCCTTGCCGGATCCAGGACTTTCTGCCTGCAACTAAAAATAGTAATAATAATAACAGTAATAGTAATAGTAATAAAAGCAATGCAACTTCTAGAAACAACTACACAGATAAACACAACTGGAAGCTTCCCCCCCCTTTAGTGCGGGGAGGGGGATGCAATGAAACTTTATGGAAATCAGCTTTTCCCCAGCAAAAACATGGAGGGTCCAGGGGCTCAGAGGCTGCAGGAAGAACCTCTTCCCAAACTGAAAGGAAAGAGCCACAACCCCCTGCCAGAAAGACCAGTGTTAACCATCATGGAACCAGCAACTCGTCTTACTAAAACAAAAGTGGAAAGCACACCCTTGGCTTCCAATTCCCATGACACAGGTAAGGTGTGCCTAAGCATAAGTTTAGATCCAGATGACTAAATTCCCATAGATTGCAATGAGACTAGTCTAAGCATCACTAACATCCGGATCTAACCCACTATGGCAGGGGTGGGGATCCTGTGGCCCTCCAGATGTTGTTGGACTCCAGATCTCATTCATGATTGCTGGCCATGCTGTCTGGGGCTGATGGGAGTTGGAATCCATAGGTTTTCCATATCTGAATTATGCAGAGAGAGAAAGGACCATTAGCGGAACCTTTTAAATATATAAAACAGCCACTGTTCCTATGGCATCAACTATGACAGCGTGATGTATGACATTAGCAGGGAATCCTGTGTTATTTTGTGCTGTAAAGAAACACACCTTGCTGATTTTTGCACAAGTCT